TGGGTGTGTCTGTGACTTCCTGTGCTTCTGCAGCCAGCCTCAAGTGGACACTCTAGGTACTGCAGGATTTTGCACTTCTTCATTGGCTGGTTGCCGCTTAGTCAGGAGCCAAGCGCGAGTAGGTGGACTACAACAGCGTTTGTGAAAATGTCCACTGGCATGTCTCAGTCGACATTTTCTAGAAATGTACTCTCTTGGTATTTTCGGGTCACTTGAAGCAGCAACCACAGCTCATCGTCCGTCCACACAAACTTCAGCGTGTTAGCCATTTTATTTATTTATTTATTTTAGTTTTGAATTGATCTTATTGGTTAAGGCTTCTCTCGCCCTCATGTCCTGATTGGTGGAACCTTTTTTATCACGTTTCAGTCGGTTGAATATTTTCCATTCTCTCTAATGTGTTGTTCATTGTGACATCTGTTTTGTGTCATTATGGATGTCGAGCTTGGATCTTTCTGAAACATATTCTAGTTATGCCTGAAGAGTTCAGAGGATGAACTCAGCTGATAATGCAGTAAATCATTTAACGCTGAAGGTTTTTGGCCGCTGACTTTGATGGAGTTAACAGAAGTTCCAGAAGTGAATTCAAAGAAACAACACCCACACTCCACTCGGAACCAGATAACACAGATACTGTGGAGAGTGTAACACACACCTGTCTGGCACATGTCCACCTGTTCCACATGCACACTCAGACACATGTACTGAGCTCAGGTTGCACAACACACCTTACCTGCTGCTGCACACTTTGCCCCTGAGAAAACACACTAGAGTATCTGCACATCTGGGAGGGGCTGCTGCGGTGACAGGTGAGTGAGGGAAAGTGTTGTTATACAGAGCGAGTGATGAAGGGTTCTCGCTGAAAGTTCAGAATCTAATTTACTCAACTTTTGAAGTTTGACTTTTTAGAAATGGTGCTGCTTGATAATCGGGAAGTTTAATCCCAAACTGATTCAACAGAAGAAAAGAGAAACTCTTCCAGCTTGAGAGAGGAGATAGGACTGACCTTGAATTTAGAATATAATTTACCAGTAGAGACCAGTTTTCTACCTGATAGATCTCTTGACAACAATCGTCTGAGAAAGTACCAAAAAATCCAGCTTCAGAACCTCCTGAGCAGCTTATGGAAATTTTAAACATGTTTTATATTTGGGATTTAGAATCTGGATGATTATTTCTGTATTTCTGTACAACCATAAATGAAGCCTACAGGGCTTCACGTGTTGCTAGGCAACAGTGAACAGTCTAACCCTTGATGCCGACATTCAGATAGTATAACAACTCGACAAATATTTAAACTAAAAAATACACGACGTGTTAGCATGAAGCGTTTGTGCACTGAGAAGAAAAGCGCTTCACGTCCGTCCTGTCTCCATGACAACAGCCTGTTGACAACGGCCGCTGTATGACCGACACGGCTCCGTTACGTGATTTATACTTGAGTTCGTTTAGTTCCCGATCAGACACGGAGCAAAGACGACGTGAGTACAAGACACGATTTGGAGGCGGCAAAACTGCGGGGAATATCAGACATTTGGAAAAGAACTCTTTTCTGAAAAGTTGAAAGATTTTTAACTTACACATAAAAGAGTGCTCAGAAGAGAAGGCGCTGCACTTTTTCTCAAGGCGGTGGCTTTCTTCATTAGCTATAGCTGTTAGGTTAAAGGTTAAAAAAAAGGAAAAGAGACACATTTTGTCCAACTGGAAGAGCTTCATCCAACAAGCGATCTATAATGAGGTGAACTAAACCCTTCACATCTCAACGACACCAATGTGAGACTTAGCATTACCTAGCTGGCTTGCCAAGAAGTCAAAACAAACAAAAAAAGGAGACATTTAGTCAAACTAGAAAAGTTTTCCCTCCATCTAAATATATAAATCACTGAGAGTTTATGATAGCATAAATACATTTTGTTCATCGCACTTGAGGTCATTTGTGCTGCTACAAAGATGGGTTTAAAATGAACCATCAAACCTTCAAGTTCAGGTTCCTATTTTGATATTTTGACATTTTATGTGAAGGTTTATATTTTCACTTTTTGAACATTATCCAATAAACCTTGGCAGGAGTATTTCAAAGTTGTGAGGTAATGATTTTTTTAAGCTTGTGAAGCTATTTTCTTTTTTTTTGTATATTTTCCTAAAATTTCTGGCTAAGAGCTTTAAATCTTCTGAGACTTTGAACTGATTTCCACTGTAGTAGGAAGTCGATGGATATCCTTCTCTGAGCTTGATCGTTTTCACTCATGTTTGACTCATAAAAGTTTATACAGCTGATTGTTTTCATGCTACATTCATGTCACTGTGTGTTCTCACTCCTGGGGCGAAGATTCAACAAACCCTCAGTCTAACCCTGAGCTCTGAGTTGATTTATTCTCAGATGGGAAACTCTGAGTTTTCGGTTCCAGATCAGCAGATTTGAGTTTCTTAAATCAACTCTGAGTGGGTCCACTCGGTGTTCAGCGCGTGCACCACGATAATAAAAAGCCAACATGAATGGAGCCCCGATACTACGATTCACCATGGCAACAGGTGACAAAAAAAGAGATCCCCATACTTTAACCATTCAGAAATATAGCATATCTTCATGCGGACATACGGAGAACATGAACAGGTTTTAAGAAGGGAAAAAAAGGAACACTGCTGCAGCGGTAAAGGAGAGAGGAGTGGTGTAAGAGAAAACAGCTGCTCGCGTCAGCGCGTAAAGTCTATTCATTTAATATTTAATCAGAATTATTATAGGCCTATTGCAGGTCAAATCTGGTGGAATTGTAGGCCTATTAAACCTACAATTTATTTTCATTAAGATGTAATCCAGCAGAAGAAAAGCTATTTTTAAACAGCTCAAAATGAAATAAGAACATAATAGGCTCATATAGATTTATAGTTAACTTAATTCAGAGTATATTTGAATGTGCATTAACTTTATCCTCAACATAAAGCTGTATTCACACACAGGCTAAATGTCCTCTCACCTTTATCCCGTTTAGTTTATTAATTAACCCTAAATGAAGATCTCCCACCGTTATGTAGCCTAGCCTCTAATTCCCTGCAGAGTAATGCAGCTTCTTCATACCGAGGATCGACTAAAAGACGCCATGTTCGATAAAATAGTTTGTCTTATACGCTGTAGTAATGCCACCCTAACATATCATATTAAAACAACCTGGATTTTTATTCAAACAAGTGGTGTATCTTCACTAACACGGGCGTGATACGGACTGAATGAAAGAATGAGGAAATTAAACGGCGTTTCTGGCTCTGAAAGAGGGAGGAGACAGAGAGAAACTCAGGGTTCATTGAAGAAAACCTGCTCCTGACCAGGTTAGGTTCACAGACTTGTGTTTCTGAGTGTGTGGTGCATGCAAACAAAGCGACGCAGACTTCTCAGCTCTCATTCAATCTTTAATTACATCAATAAAAAAAGTGCTGCTTGGTAAAGAATAACATTTCTTTAAAATCCTCAAATTCAAATGAACAAAGAAAAAAAAAAGTCAAAAATAATTTATGATACAATAACAAAAATATTTACATTTTCATAACAAATAAATCTTTACAAAAAAACATTACAGGCCAGACTGCAGCCAGGTGGAGGTAGGTTTTATCATGCTAAGAATAAAAATACAACTAAGTCACGCCTTCTGTCTTGTTAAAACCTCTGGACATTTATAAAAAGATGGCGGTATCGGACTACAAAAAAAAGGTGAAGACATCTGGAAGAAAAAAGCCTAGAAGCTACAAAAACGGGATCTAGCTCTCGCTGGAAGATATCGAGGTTTTAACAAGACGGCGACGTGACCGACCGAACGAAACGAGGAGTCCTGAACAGAACACATTTCAAGGCAGAACAGGTTTTTACCATAAAACACCAAAAAAAACACCTCCACTCTCTTTACTCCCAACGAAGCGGGTCTGTTCAAGTACAGCCAGACTGAAGAGGAAGAACTCTTGTTATGATTTCAAAATAAAACGTTATAATATTCAGGATGCACTTTTAAGACATTTGACACAAATGAGAAAACGTTTCTTTTCCATTTGCACATTTCATTACAAACAGCACATTAAATGGATAATATTGGCCATATTGGTTATTTTCACACTTCAGATCCAGCCCAAAGTACAAGCTCAACCAAACACCTGATAGCATGAGGACACAACAGGCTCCTGGTGAACGCGTACGAGTTTACATTTCAATAGATACCACCAACTTTAAATATTAACAACCTTTAATATCACTTGGTTAAACTGAGTTCTCCGGCGCCTATTTTGCATCCCTGTGACCAAACAGCTTAATAACGGGGCACAAAATGGCACAACGCGACGGGTCGTCGATCTTTACAAATGGGGAGTATTTAGTCAGTGGCCCTCGGGTACATTCAGGAGATTCAACCTGTTTCATTTGCGGGTGTGCACAAAGAAAAGGTGGCTCATTTTTTAAAAAAAGTTTAGAGACAATCCCAAAGAATCGAGAACATTTGAGAAGCTAGGGCCACTGAGTAATCAATCACTGTTACACTGGAGGAAACTCCTCTGGGTTTGTAGTCACACATCATGAAAAAGTTAATTTTACACTTAGAAAAATTGCTTCTTTTTTTTTTATTTTGGAGCAAAGGAACTAAATGTCACAGTATTTGCCGTCTCCAAACCAGACACCTTTCAATAAAATCTCCGCCTGTCACTCTGTAAAACATGCAAAATGTTGTCCAGAGGTTTTTTTTTTTTCTTATCCGCACCGACTTTGGCTGATTTTGCTACTTTAGCGCAGCTCGCTGTTCAGTCCACCGTCCAGTTTCAGCCTCCTCAGAACCTGAATGCTGTTTTTTTAATATGGCTACTTTAGAGCTTGGAACAGTTAATTCATGACGCACACTTTAATCACACAGTGAGTTATACACACACACACACACACACACACACACACACACACACACACACACACACACACACACACACACACACACACACAACACACACACAGAGGCAAGTGAGCCGGTGATGGACTACACACACACACACACACTGAGGCAAGTGAGCCGGTGATGGACTACACACACACACACACACACACACACACTGAGGCAAGTGAGCCGGTGATGGACTGAACAGAGGCTGAGCATTGGTATTCATACAGTATCGAACCTGGTCTATACAGTAATGTCTTTAACACACATTAAACCTGATAACAGAGTGGTGTTGGGCCTCGAGGTACGCCTGAAGCCAAACGGGGCTGGACGCGCACTGAAAACCTATTTTTCCTGATCGTAGAAAATAAAATAAAAAACCATCAGATTTGGAATTAAACTGGAATCAAATGAGGATGAAGTTGAAGAAATAACTCGAGGGCCATCATCACACACGGGTCAGAGTGGAGGGATCACTGGTTAGTATGGCTATAAGACGTCCTGAAAACACATTATTCAAGTTTCATTCAACTACTGAGCTGATGTGGCCGACGGTTATTTGACTCCACTTGCACCCGTTGCCATTTGGCGAACAATGGGAGGGGGTTTCCCCTTCAGAGTGCGTCCAGCCCGATGAAAGTAAAAAATATCTGCTCTCTCATTCTCGTTTCTTTCTTTTTTAAATCCTACGCTCTACAACAGTCAGCAGTCAAGGCATGAGAATGATCAAATCTGAGGCAATGAGTGTGTTTCTATGGCAACTGTTGAGTCTATACAGTCCAGAAGAAGTTATGGTCACAATTAAGTCCTTGAAATGTCTTGAAAACTTGTGCGCTCTTTCTAGCATGAAACGCCACCTTTCCTATCCACCCTCTTTGTACAAAGTCTCTTCCCTTATCCCCCCCCACCCTGCCCCTCCGAAAAGTCTCTCAAGACAACACAGCCTGTGATTGGTCCATTAGCTGCGGAGCTGCTCCAGTCTCGCTTTCAGCTCTTCCTGTTTCGCTCTGAGTCTGTCCCTCTTGGATTGCAGTCTGTGGCCTTCGTCTTCCAGGCCGTAGATGCAGTCCCTCGCCTTCTTCAGGATCACGACCTTGGACGCCTTGTCGTTGTGCGACAGCTCGGGAACGTTATCTCGCAGGCGCATGAAGCAGTTCTTCAGCTCGTTCCGCCGCTGACGCTCCATCACGTTGTGCGTCCTCCTCCGCTCCTCCTCGTCCTCCGTCTCTGTTGAATTCTTGGACGAGGAGTGGTGGTGGTGGCTGTGGTGGTGATGGTACCGCGACGAGGAGGACGAGGAAGACGAGCTGCGGGAAGAGGAGTGGTGGAAGCGCGACGAGCTTTCGCTCCCTCTCGTGCGCTTGGTGGACGAGGATGAAGGTGGCGGCGAGGCGGGACACGGCGCGGCGTAGTTGTGCTGCAGCTGGATCTCGAAGTGGTGGCGCTGAAGAGCCCTCTGCTCCTCTTCCTTCTTCTGCTGACGGGCGGACAGGGCGGCCAATGAGGAGGGGCTGGAGGGACAGCGCACCACCGTGACCACATCAATCTCCTCCTCTGGAGAAAACAAGAGAAGAAGAAGAAGTCAGATGAGTTTTCTGGTACAACCTTGTTTTTTGACCTTACGACTTGTGTGATGACGTACTGACATTTCAGAGGAGCGCTGACACCAAAAACAAGAGTGTAGACACTGTACACATGAACAAACACACACACACACACACACACACTTTCTACTATAAACAACCATAAACAGTTTGAAACCTCCCCTCTGTTAATGAGTAGCAGGTTGGTGTGTAAACAGAAGTGTCACTGCTCTGATGTGAGTTAAAATAGACACATACACACACAAAAACGAAAAAAAATAAAAATCTGTGGTATTCTTCTCATTTTAAGCAATGACTAACCCTTAAAAGATTATTCAATTGCTTCTTCTCTGGTTTATAAAGCGCAGGATGCCACAGGGCTTTAGTGGTTGAGATGACTCATTAGGAGGTAATAGACGGAACCGCTGAACATGACTCACACACACTTAAAGTGGATTCTCTCCACTAAAGCCTCTCATCTCATCGTGTCAGTCAACAGATAAGCCCCGCCCACACTCGAAACTACATCCCTGAGCCATAAAAAACGCTCCCGCCGATTACAGGTGGGCGGCCGGCGTGCAGATAAGGACAACTTCAAAGAACGAGTTTGGGCTCAGTGACAGTAAACATTAACAGGGAATTATCAATGAAACACCAGGGAACGAGCTCAGGGTGAGGTCTGTTTATACTGATAAGCTGCACTAGGAGGACGAGGTCGGATATGATTATCAGAACTACAGCATCCATAAAGGCAAGGAGATATTTTTAAAGCAGGCCAAAAAACAAAAATAAATACTAAAAAATCTATAGAAGAAGAAAGCGTTTCAGATTTATTTTTTCAAACTTAAAAGTTGCCAAAATATTTCACTAGTTGAAGTCTCAAAACATGTTCAACAGTTGGGCTAACTTTCACAGGAGCGGTGGGCATGAGAAGTAAATAAAAGTATAAATCTGAACTCACCAGAGTCACTGGATGAATACGTAGAAAACTCTCCTCCGGTGGAGCCGTAGTCCGACGTGGACTCGCTCGTCTCCTGAGTGGCCATCAGGTTCTGGCAGTCGAGTGTGGAGCCGGCGATCTCCTCAAAGATGTTGGTGTTGATTTCAGACAGCAGCGGGCTGGAGCCGAGCATGGTGGAGACCAGCTTCTCCTCCAGGCTCTTGTCGGACGCGAGGCACTGCCACAGACAGTCCTCCCCGCTCTCCTCCAACGGGGAGCACGGCTGGCTGGGCTCGCCCTCCTTCTCTGTGGCGCCCGAGTGGAAGAAGTCGCAGTTCCAGTTGAGCTGCATGTCGTGATCCTCCAGCAGGATGTCCGACACGTAACTCAGCTGGTCCTCCTTGGACAGGGGCTTACTGCCGCCGACTCCGGGCTTCATTGGGGGGGACTGAGGAGGTGTCGGCAAAGACTGGAGGTCCTTCATCAAACTCTGGCAGAAATCATCGTCAAATAGCAGCGGCTCAGAGTAAAGCCAGTCCTGCGACTGAGCGAAGCTTTGCAACATGATGAATGGTAGAATCTGTGATAAAAAAACAAACAGCAAAACACCCCAAGTTTAAAAAAATGTAAGAGGTAGATTGAGAAGAGAAAAGTAAATCCAGAGAAGCTGAGGCTGTAGTGTGTTGAAGCAGCGTGTCGGTGGCGTAAATCCCAGCAGCAGCAGCCACACGCGTAGTAGTGAAAGTTTAAACCAGTTTCTCCACTCTGAGAGCCCAAAAGGCAGTGTGCCACCTTTTATCTGTGTTTACATCACTCAAGCCCCGCCCACCCCGCTCCCCAGGGGCGCAAATCACCCGAAAAGATTTTAACACCCTCCCTCCCCCATGACATCACAGGAACAGCTGGGAGAGACCGGGGCAAGAAATTTTACACCTCTTTCCACGCTTTACATTTTCCCTCCCCCCTCTTTCTCTCTCTCAGTAAGATAATAAAATAAAATAAAACAGGCTCAGGTGGAGCCCGGCTGCCTGCTGACACAGAAAACAAAACCTTCAGAGAAAAGTTTGTTTGTCTTCTTTTCTTTGTCAGGCAACTCTCAACACCTCGGCTGCTGTTTCACACTCGCATGCAGGAAATCAAGACACACAACCCAGTGTACCCAACACAGAGTCTGGGGTGGGTGGATGTCGTTTAAACAGCCCTCGAGGAATATCAACCAGTGCTGCTCAAGCAAATCCCTCATTCAAGTCGTAAAACCTTATAATTAATAAACTGCAAAAAATGCGTCACAATAACACACAACCATGACCACAAGTCAACAGACAAAGAGGAAGTCGTGTTCTGTGAGGGGGGGGATCCTATAATAAACGGGCTCTCATGCTTATATATGGGTATGTATAGCAAGCCTGTGTGTGAGAACAAAGCAGCAGTGTGTGTGTGTGTGTGTGTGTGTGTGTGGCGCAGACAGACTCAAGACTCAGCCTGGCGAACCTTTCAAATAACTTTAAACACAAACCAGTCTGCGCATGTGACAAGACACTCAAATTAAAGTCATTAAATAGTGTTTATTTTGACGTTTTCCAACCCAACTCGGCTTTAACACCTACGCACTGTTTATAACGCATGAATGGACACCTTCTACCTGCAGCGCGTGGGGACAGCGCGTGCACATGACAGCTCCGAGTGACGAGTCTTAAAAAAAAAAATCACTTTTCCAAAATGATGGTGCTGAGTGGGGATTTTACCAAGTGCGTGTTAATGTGTCTTAAATGTGTTGGAAAGGAACGCAATGTGCCCTGATTTTACACTTTGGACAAGTGTGAAATATTTAGTAGAAATAAAAAATGCAAAAAAAAGACACGTGTCTCTTTTAGTTTAGAGCTGCACGAGGAAAAAGAAGGTAATTCAGTGTAATAGAAAAGCTCAAAGTCCGTGTGGTTTCAATGGCTGACCCACTGTTAGGGTCATTTAAACCCCGCATGGGCTGAGCGAGGCAGAGTCTCCACGTGAACACCGACACCCTTCTCTTTATAACAGTTAATACAACATTAACGCACGAGTCAATTCATGAAATTGACCAAAGCTCTATTTTACGAGCAGTATTGAGGGCACGTAAACGTCTCATATGTGTAAATTAGATAATATAAGGTAAAAAATACAAAAACCATTTCACCCGCATCATGCACCAAGTTACCTTCAGTTGTCCTTATAGGCGCAGGGATTTTCAAAATGAAGAAGAAGAGTCCGGAAATATCCAATAAAGTCCACAGGGAGAGGCAACACACTAGCACTGTCTGCGTACGGGAAATTTTCTACGTGTGAAATTAAAGTTAGAGCACGGCAGCATGGTGTTTATCTCCAGCCTCCCTCCTTCTTCTTCTTCTCCTCCTGCTACGAGCAGACAGAGTAGGTGTGGCTGTCGGGGGTCGCTTGGTTTATAAGTCTGCCACTCGCCGATGTCCTTCCGCCACCACCGAAATCGCGCCAAAACATTAAAACGCACAATATTTGGATCGTGGCATTCAATTGTGTAGTTTTTATATTCTTCGTGAGTCCCAGTTTCGAACAAGTCAAGGCGGAAAAAACGGGCCTGACGGCAAATTTGAGTAATTTCGCGTCGAAGTTAGGGTCTATGTTGTCTTCTCGGCGGAGTGATACCGCGGAAGGCAGGGATTCCAGGAAAATGGTGGCGGGTAAAAGTTGGGACAGAACACACGTGGATTGTGCGGAGATGCCGGGTGTCTCACTGCCTGTCTGTCTGCTCGTCTGTCTGACTGTCTGTCCGTCCTGCTTCAGGATGTTAATGAGAGTTACGGAGAGCAACATAGTCGACATACAGCTTCATTTATCGACCTATTTTGTTGTTTTTATTTTATTTTAACGAGATTTAAAAAAAAAAAATGAGTTTGTAAACGTTGCGTTCAGGGTCAGTTGCCAATATTCAGAAAAATACTAACTTTCAAAGTCATTAGTTGGGAATGCAGCTGGTACCAAAGGGGGTTTGGTATTTTTACGGCATGTTTAAAGACATTGGAGGCTGCAGTGTGTTTAGTAGTACAGCAGAGAGACAGACAGGCGGGCAGAAAGACAGGCTGCATGCTTTCAAAGCCACGTTGTCCTCCAGTTCAAACTCTTGCAGGGGAGTTTCACCATCCATCCATTTAACCCCGGCTCCACCTCCTCTCCTTACTAGGCTCTTACTACTACTACAACCATAAACTTTCTGAGCCAGCCGCGAAACAAAACCGGCTTTAATGAAGTTTTAGGCTCTTGTCTCAGGTTGAACTTTTGGACGGTTTATGCAAGTTTATTACCGTTTTATTGCAAAGATTACTATTGCAACATGGTAAGCCTGATGTGTAAATATATTTGCATTAAATGTTTGTCATGCAATTTGCATATTTTGAGGTTAACATTGTGTGCAAACATTTGTTTTAATTTATTTTTGATTTGTTTTCTGCAATTTTATGGGGGAAGTTTTGCACATTATTTGTACTATCTATTAGAACATAAATGTAAAACTTGAATAGGGAAATTAAAAAAAAAAAAAAAAAGCAAATTAACTGAAATATAAGTAATTATAGTGGAAAGGAGTGCGCATTAAGATGAATGAACTCCAAAGAGCCCTTCGCAGATAGATACCGCAGCCCTCCCTCTTCCTCCACCTTCTCCTCCTCAGCCTCTTGTCGCTCCTCTTGTGTGCTCTGCACGTTACATAACGGACTAGGATTCGCCGGACACGTGCAGGGGCACCGGCCAATCAGAACGCGAGTCAGCCTCGGTTCACGTGAGTTCTCGGCAAGGAATCTTGTAACCGGAGCCCACCGTCTTCTACCGAGTACCGACCAATATACATTGATTTATATCCAGCCCTTTAAATGCGCTCACACGCCTTTTTGATATTCAGCCTACACATGCGCAGCTGCTGGTCATCTGCTGTCCTCATCAACAAATGTAGGTTACATAAAATAAAAAGACACACTACCCTAAATATTCAGAACGAGTTTATTGTCATTTCCTGCAACAATAATCTTTGCTAATTATGGTAAAAAATGTCTTAAATATGCATGGGGTTTGTTTCACACACAACAAAAGGCTGGTATTAAGCTCCATGACTCCCCTGCGTGTCTTCATACATGTAAATATAAAAGCCCCTGTGTGTTTTTATTGTCATGTGTGCATGCCTTTTTTCCCTGATGCATTGTGCACTTTTCAGGATAATCGCAGCTTTGTTGGGAGTCTGTCATATGGAAATAATTGTGACCGAGTGTAAATACACTCCCAATGTCCACAAACGGGAGTTAAAATGCAGAATGATCTCAGTAAGACTAAAAAAATAAACCTTTAAAAAGTGTTCTGCTCCACATTTGGATTGTGGTGTGTTTTTTTTTTGTTTGTTGTGCGTAGCAGCTGATGTAGGGCGGATCACGGCAGCAGAACAGAACATCTTGCTCTCTCAGCAGCAGACACAAAGAGAGGACAGGGGGGTCTGGCAGCGAATAAGTGGGTTAATGTGCCACCTACAGGCCGACTGGCAGACTGGCCTGGTTTCTGCTCTGAATACTAAAACCTCCAGGCTGACTGACTCACTTGTTTAATTTGTGACTAACCGGTTAATTCTGGGATTTCTTCATTATTTCACATAAATTCAGCCCCCCAAAAAGCTCCGCATTAAAACATCACTTCCATTTTTAATTATTTTTAAACTTTTGTTGAACACACAGCAGACTTTAATTTGATTTCAAAATGATCTTCAGCCATTAGCCGAGTGAAAATGTTTGTCAGGATAGTGGATAGAGTCGGAAATCAGGACATCAGGTGGGAAAGGCGCCACAGGTTGGATTTTAAAACCTGGGCTGCCCTCTTGGAAGACTTTAGCCTCCAAACATGGGGCGCACACACCAACCACTAAGCTACAAGCGCCCCCATTTATAATCAATTTTTGATCATGTTTTCTTTAGTTATTCTTTTAGTAAATTCAGATTTGCATGATTCATATTTTGCACACACGAGGGTATCAAGGTAAGAGGGCAGGTTGAGGACCAGCATGCACCTGGGCCTATGGTTGTTGTTTTTTTTACTAGCACAAGAGAGGCAGCAGGAGCCAAGATTTTCTTCGTTTTTTGCAAACTAGACCATCAGAAATACAAACCTTTTGCATGCATCAGTGGCCTTTTGATTATGTTTGTTATGAGTTATATTTAGATTATTTTCAGAAACAAATCTCCACTACAACGAGCTTTGAGTTGACTCAAGATTATTCCTCATCAACATCAAAATTAAGTCCGTAATTGTGCTTCATCAGGAATACATTTTGGCCCGTTTTTTAAAACTTGAACCGTGTCAGGTAGAGGCTGAAACGAGGGTTTTTACAGACGCCAGAATCAGATGAATGAGGAGGTTTTTGAGCTGAAAATCATGCAAAGCTTCTCTGTAGGTTTCACAGACTGACAACATGAAATGTGAACATGAGGAGACTATGGGATCTTTGAAGAGTGGTCAAACAATATTTGATATTTTACAGCGGAGTAAATAGTGTGTGACTGCTGCTGTAAAAAAAACATCTAGCTGAACAGAGCATGCTTAATATTCTAAAGATAATTTGAAGCTAATTTCAAAGGATACTGGACTTGGTTAAAGATCTTGAAGACGTCTCACCTCTCCTTCAGTTCATTTCAGGGGAAAGGTGAGACATCTGCAAAATCTTGAAGTCCATTTTTTTTTTTTTTTAAGATTTATTTTTGGGCTTTTTGTGCCTTTAATGGAGAAATAGGACAGTGGATAGAGAGAGAGAGGGGAATGACATGCGGGAAAGGAGCCGCAGATGAGATTTGAACCTGGGCCATCCGCCTGGAGAACCACAGCCTCCATACATGGGGCATGCGCACTAACCACTGCGCCACCAGTGCCCCTAAGTTCAGTGCCTTTAGATCCATAAAGTGAAGTTAAATATTGTTTTTGATTTTGAGGCAGGGTGTAAACATATTTCAAGGTCAAATTATTTTAGCTATTTTAGAGTGGGGTTTTTTCAAAGTGGGTCAACTCATTTTTGACCCCACCTTGAAGTAACCTTTGTTTCTAAAGTGGGTCGAATCACAGCTGAGATCTTAAAACAAGATAAAATATGTTTTATTACAAAGGTGTCGTATCATGTCAGATATCTTAAAATGAGGTCAAATATTTAAGCCCATTCTCGTTCTTTGCTGTAAAGACTTTATATTAGACGTATTGTGAGGCTGAAACTGATTTAGACATCAAAATATGGACGAGGTGGTATTCTTTCATTCTTTCCTGTGTCTCTCCTGTGTACACAGTTCAATTACTGAGCGACGAGGTCAAAGGTTAATTAACCGACTGACCAACAAAACGACTGACCGGGTCACTGACTGGCCCAGTGAACTTGATGGCATTAGAAAGCTAATGGGAACACACACACAGCAGACACCACGGGGGGAGGGGGGGATGCAGCCTGGGAATGGGATTACCGCTCTGTGAGTGTGTGTGTGTGTGTGTGTGTGTGTGTGTGTGTGTGTGTGTGTGTGTGTGTGTGTGTGTGTGTGTGTGTGTGTGTGTGTGTGTGTGTGTGTGTGTGTGTGTGTGTGTGCCGACCGCTGTGATCTCCTCCTTATTAGGACTCTTCATCCAGCAGTGTGTCTCTGTGCAGACAGACAGGCTGCTGCTGCTACCCGTCTCTCTGCCTGCTTTAATTAGACATTAGCAGATGAGCTCACACACACACACACACACACACACACGCACGCACACACACACACACACAGACTAAACCAAGAGTTTCTCAAACTCTGGTGAGAGGGCCGGTTGTGGTCCAGGCGTTGATGGACCAACTTTGTGTTACAGGCTTGTGTAGAAGTTTTTTTTTCCAATACATTGATGACTCTCTCTGTCTCAGAATCAGAAATACTTTATTAATCATCAGGGGAAATTTGGTTGTTACAGTTGCTCTTGAACACAATCTAGCAGTAGGAATTATCTAAATAAATTTAAGAATGTACAAATAAAGTAGAATCGAGATAATAAAATAAGCCATAAGTACCAAGTGGGACTAGAATAAAAAGATATGTGCTAAGTGCCGGGACTTAAACAGTATTGATATTGTAGTATGCGTATGTATATAAGTCTCAATATGAACCAAATTGTTGACCAGTTTCCGGCCAGATTGCACGGTGAGACAGATTACACAATTTCAAGGTTACATAAATCCAGGTTGATAATCCAGGATATTTTCAGACTCAATGTCTGACTCTCAAGCAGAGGAGTTTAAAAATCTGATGGCCTCAGGCAGGCACGTTCTGTAGCGTTCTGTGGTGCCTCATGGGGGGATGGGTCTTGGAGTGTAGTGGGTGTTAGATAATGTCCAAGATGCAATGCAACTTAGACAGCATCCTCCTCTCTGACA